GTCATAAGAGACACTCTGTGGCAAATTCAAAGACTACCCCAATTCCTAACTACTACCCATTTCAGAGGCCTTGCACTCCTATGAAATCACATATTCCTTATAATTAAATCCCCTTTAACTTAGTGATCTTAAGTGGATCTCTTCCTTATAACACATTAAAAATAACTCCCAGGCAACAAAATGTGATATATACATAAAATGAACTATTATTCAACCATAAAGAGAAGTGAAGTTCTGATACATGCTACAACATGGATGAACCTTGTAAACATCACACTGAATAAAGTAAGTCTGACACAAAAGGACAAACACTGTATGATCACACTTACATATAATATCTAGAATAGGCAAATGCATAAAAACAAAAGTTTATTAGTGGTTACCAGGGCTGGAGAGATGAGAGAATGGGGAGTTACTACTTAAGGGGTACTGAGTTTTTGTTTGGGGTGATGAAAAACTTTTGGAAATAGTGGTGACGGCAGCACAACATGGTGAATGTAATCCATCACAAGAAGAGGCCAAAGGAAAAAAAAAATCATTATGATCATCAATAGACGCAAAAAAGGCACTTCACAAAATCTAACATTCATTCATGATTAAAAACTCTCAGCAAAGAAGGAATAGAGAAGACCTTCAACTTAATAAACAACATCTATAAAAAACGTACAGTTAACATCACACATAATGGTGAGAAACTAAAACTTTTCTACTAAGATAAGGAACAAGGCAAAGATGTCCCTATTTGACATGATACCGGAAGTCCTAGCTAATGCAGTAAGATAAAAAAGGAAATATAAAGCATACAGGGTGAGAAGGAAGAGACAAAACCATTTTTGTTTGTGGATATGACAGGTTATACAGAAAATTCCAAAGAATAAACAAAAAATTCCTGGAACTAAAAAGCAATTGTAGCAAGATTGCAGGATGCAAGGTTAATATACAAAAATTGTTTTCCAGTATACCAGTAATGAACTATTGGAATTTGAAATTTAAAACACACCACCACTTATCCTAGCACAAAAAAAGAAATACTAAGGTATAAATTTAACACAATATGTGTAAGATCTTTACATGGAAAACTACAAAACTCTAATGAAAGAAATTAAAGCTCTAAATAAATGAAAGCTAGTCCACGTTCATGGATAAGAAGACAGAATATTGTCAAGATGTCAGTTCTTCCCAATTTGACCTACAGATTCAATGAAATCCCAATTAAAATCCCATCAAAGTTATTTTGTAGATATTGGAAAATTAATTTTAAAAAGAACAAGTCGGAGGAGGACTGACACTAACCAATTTCAAGACTTGCTATAAAGCTACAGTAAACAATACAACGTGACACTGGCAAAAGAATACGGTGAATAGATAAATGGAACAAGGCAGAGTCCATAAACAGAACACGCAAATATAGTCAAATGACCTCTGACAAAGCAGCAAAGGCAATTCAATAGAGAAAGCACAGTCTTTTCAACAAATGATGCTGGAACTAGACATCTATATACAAAAAACTGAATCTAGACACTGACCTTGTACCTTTCATATAAATTAATTCAAAATGGATCATAGACTTAAGTAAATGTAAACACGTATGAAACTTCTAGAAGACAACATAGGAGAAAATCCAGATGATCTTGGGTTTGGCAATGCATTACTCGATATATCATCAAAAACACAATTCATAAAAGAAAAACATTGGTAAGCTGGACTTCATTAAAATTAAAAAACTTCTGCTCTGTGAAAGATACTGATAAGAGTATGAAAAAGCCAAGTTACAGACTGGGAGAAAATATCTGCAAATCACATTTATGATAAAAAACATATCCAGCATATACAAAGAAGTCTTAAAACTCAACAAGAAAACAAACAACCCAGTAACAAAATGGGCAAAAGATCTGAACAGACATCTCACCAAAGAAGATGTACCAATAGCAAGTATATGAAAAGATGCTCAACATCATGTCATTAAAAAAAAAAAAAAAAAACAAAATCCATTGCCATCGAGTTGATTCCAACTCAAAGCAATCCTATAGGAAGAGCAGAACTGCCCCATGAGGTTTCCAAGGAGCGGCTGGTAGACTCAAACCGCTGACCTTTTGGTTAGCAGCCAAGCTCTAAACCACTGTACCACCAGGGCTCCATCATGTCATTAAGGAACTGAAGATGAAAACAATGAGATACCACTACACACTTATTAGAATGGCTAAAATCCAAAACACTGACAATACTAAATGCTGATATATTTGTGACAATGTGGAGCAACCGAAACTCTTTTTATTGCCAGTGAAAATGCAAAATGGTAAAGTCACTTTAAAGACAATCTGGCAGTTTCCTACAAAGCTAAACATAGTCTTACGTTATGATTCAGCAATCACTGGTCCTCGGTATTTACCCAAACGTGCTAAACACTTACGCTCACACCAAAACCTATACACAAATGTTTACAGCAGTTTTGTTCATAATTGCCAACAACTAGAAGCAGCCAAGATGTCCTTTTTTTAGGTGAATGAGGAAAAATAAATTGTGATACATCCATACAATGGAATATTATTCAGTGATTACAAGAAATGAGCTATAAGCCACAAAAAGACATGGAGAAAACTTAAATGCATATTACTAAATGAAAGAACCCAGTCTGAAAAGGCTACATACTATACAATTACAACTATGACATAATGGAATAGGCATAACTATAGACGATAAAAAGGTAAGGAGTTTTGCCATGGGGGCCCAGGGGAAGAAGAAGATGAGTAGGTGGAGCACAGGGGAGTTTTAGGGCAGTGAACTATTCTGAATGATACTGTAATGGGGGATACATGGCATTGTGCATTTATCAAAATCTATAGAACTGTACAACACAGAGAGTAAACCCTAATGTAAACCGTTATGGTTATTAGTTGCCATCGAGTCAATTTCAACTCATAGCGACCCCATGTGACAGAGTAGAACTGCCCCATAGAGTTTCTTGACTATAATCTTTATGGAAGCAGAACACCAGGTCTTTCTACCGTGTAGCAGGCTGGGTGGGTTCGAACCACCAACCTCTTGGGTTAGCAGCCAAGTGCTTAACCGTTTGCGCCACCAGGGCTCCTTAATGTAAACTATAGACTTTAGTTAATAATAAGTTATCAACACTGGTTATCAATTATAACAAATGTACCACATTAATGCAAGATGTTAATAATAGGGTAACGTGTGTAGAGAGAGAAGGGTTATATGGGAACCCTGTACTTCCTGCTCAATTTATCTGTAAGCTTAAAGTTACTCTAAAAAATAAAGCATATTAATTTTTTTAAGTTAAAAAAAAATTGTGATCCCTCAACGTTAAAAATAAAAAAAGTTAATGATAGGATATTCACAAGAAATACAGCTAAAATAAAGAATGCAAAAATGTAAGGGAAAAGGGGATTTAAAAAATTAGGCAAAATTAACTGACCAATGAAAAATAGCATAGGTACATTAATATCAAACAGTACTATTTAAGACAAAAAGCATTCCTAGACATAAAAAGTCACTACACAGGGCAAAAGTTAATTCAGTAGATAATAAATTTACATTTCCATGTATAGTAATGATTTAAAAATTTACATGAAAGAAAAATGTACGCAACTACAAGAAAAACTTGAAAAATCCAACGCTCTAGTAAAAAAAGAACATATCTCTGCTCTACAGAAAAATAAGGATATAAGATTTGAACAACATAATTAACAAGCTTAACTACTGGACATATCTAAAATTTTGCACTGAGAAGAAGAGACTACACATTCTATTCAAGTACAAACGAAAATAATTAAAAACAGACCATGCAGTCTCGAAAGATTTCAAAGGATTAGTATTATATAGACCATGCTACCTAACCACAGGCAATTACAAATCAATAACCAAATTAACTAGAGGAACTTCCAAATGTTTAGAAATTAAGCTTATAAATAACTTATGAATTAAAGAATTCACAGTAGAAAATAGAAAAATAATTGTGAGTGTAAAAATACTCACAAAAGAAGAAACCTCACAAGTGAAAAATAATGAAAATACTACACATCAAAACTTGTGTGATGCGTGAAAAGCAATACATAGAAGTTTATGGTCTTAACTAACTATACTAAAAATGCTGAAAATTAATCAGCTAAACATCCAACTTAACAAATAAGAAAAAGAACAGAAATAAACCCATAGGAGATAGAAGAAAATAAAGAGCAGAAATTAATGAAATGAGGGAGAGATACAATAAGGAGCCTCAACAAATCCAAAAAGTTGATTCTTTGAAATTCTTTAAAAATGACAAACTTTTAGCTAAAAGTGATCAAGAAAAAAAGCATCAAAAATTAATAAATAAAAATAAAGGTGATATTATCTACAGGTACTACAAAATTAAGACACTAACAATTTTATGTATAAATTCAAGAACATGGATGACATAGACAAATTTCTATAAAAGTATAACCTACCAAAACAAATTTAAAAGTTGAAAACATGAACAATCCTATAACCAAAACAAGTGAATTAGTGGTTAAGAATCTTCCCACAAAATAAATACCAGTAACAATTTTACAAGCAAGTTCTACCAAACATTTAAGTAATAGATCATTCTAATCTTACATGAACTCTTCCAGAGAAGAAAGAGAAAAGGTATATTTGAAAAAAAAAAAAAAAAAAAAACCTACATAGGCCAATATTACTCATTATTAGAGGCAGAAATCCTAAATTAAATATCATCAAACTGAGTCTAGTAACGAAAAATAAAGAGAGACTGACTAGGGTTGAATTTATACTTAGAAAACAAATTTGTTTTTAACGTTAGAAAGAAAATCAATGTAATTCATCACAGTAACAGATTACAGAAAAAAACACATGATCCTCTCAAAAGATGCAGAAAAAGCTTGACAAAATCCAACATCCATTCATGATTTAAAAAAAAAAATCTTAAAAAAATAGTAACAAAGGAACATCCTTAAACCTAAAAAGATTATCTACAAAAACCTACAGCAAGCATCATACTTAACTGTGAAACTTTGAAAGCATTCCCTTTAAAATCAGGAACAAGATCAGGATGCCCCCATCACCTCTTCTATTCAACATTGTACTGGAGATCCTAGCCAGCACATTAAGACAAGAAAAAGAAGAAAAAAAAAGCATAAGAATTGGAAAGGAGGAAACAAAGCGGTCATTATTCACAGATAGGACTATCTGCATAGAAAATCCAAAAGAAAATCTACAATTTATTACAATAAGGAGTACAGTACAGCAAGGTTGTTACATAAAGTCAAATTGTATTTTTATTCACCAGCAAGGTAGAAAATATAACTATGAAAAAGATACCATTTATGATATGCTTCAAAAATAAGGTGCCTAGAAATAAAATACTTGCAGTGTTTTAGTTGAAGAAAATCATAAAACTTTATTGACAAACATTGTAAAAGACCTAAGTAAATGGAGATCACAATGTTTATGGTTGAAAAAACTGCATAACAAAGCAAAGTGTTAGCTCTCCCAAAATTTGTTTAGAGATTCAATGCATTTCCCATCAAAATTCCAACAGGTATTGTGTGTGTGTGCCTGTGTGTGTGTAACCTGAAAAGATGAAAGATAATTCTAAAGTTATATGGAGGAGCAAACAGCCAAGACGTTCCTTGAAAAACAACTACAAAGTGGGAGGACTTGCCCTATTTCCCTGTCCCTAAATGACTGACTACAGTGTTTCAAATTAACTATACCTGTGAGGACTTAAAAACTGAACAAAATATAAAAAATATCTGTTTAAAGGCCTGAAGTACTACAAGTAAGGACATGAGAGGCCAAGCTCTGGAAAGAAGGGAAGTCTAGGAAGTTTAGCCCAACATTTAATTCCCCTGGAGATATTAGCCAATTGTAAAAGGGCAATGGAGAGGCTAAGAAGCCAAGCCAAACTTCAAACAGATTTCCAGAGCTGGAGAAAGGAGAAGATATTTGCAAACCAACCAGCAAGACCTGGTATCTGGAATACATAATGAACGCCTACAAATTAGCAATGAAAAAGACAGATGGCCCAATACAAATATGGGCAAAAGACTTGGCAAGCCACTTAACAAGATATCTAATAGTCAATAAGCATACACCCTCTCCTCAATATCCATGTGGTTAGGTTCCAAAGAACAGGTCATTACACAAAAAGCGGCATTACGCGAAAATGAAGGACAGCTACATCTTTACATAACTGCCAAATTACATCATTACATAACTGCCAAACTACTGAGACTCATGGCCCAGCCAAGTTGACATAACCTTAACCATCAAAGCCAGCGTTACTCTCACCTCACACCTCAGCGTTCATCACTGCCAGATGTACGTTGTTAATGCGCAAAACAGTCGGAGAGTAGATTTTTATTCTTGTTGTAAATGCAGAATGTCAGATAACAAGATAGTCTATAAGTAAGGAGAAGGTGTATTAAAAGGTGCTTAACACATAAGATAGTAGGCCATGAGTAACTTGATGGCAATGGGTTAACATAATTACTCATTTCTAACCTACTGCTGTCAAATTGATTCCAACTCATAGTGACCTTATAGGACAGAGTAGAACTGTCCACAGAGTTTCAAAGGCCATGATCTTCACAGAAGCAGACTGTCACATTTTTCTCCTGTGGAGCAGCTGGTGGATTTGAACCGCCTACCTTTCTGTTAGCAGCCAAAAACTTTAACCACTGTACCACCAGGGCTCCTTCATTACTCTTTATAGGAATACAAATTAAAAGCAGTACTCAACCCACCAAATGGCTAAAATTCAAAGGATGGACAAGGAAGTAGAGCAACTGGAACTCTATTCCATTGCTAGTGGAAGGGAATGAACAAACTGCAACTACATACAGCAATATGGATGACTCTCACAAACAAAACTGAGCGAGAAAAGCCAGCCACAAAAAGATATGTACTATACAACTCCATTTAAATAGGGTTCAAAAAACAGACAACACTAATCTAAGACGTTAAACTCAGGACAGTAGGTATCCTTGTGGAAAGGAGTTTAGTCACTAAGAGGGGATTCAAGTGGAAGCGTCCTCCGGGGTGCTGATAATGTTCTATTTCTTGACCTGCACGATGGTTATATTTAGATAATTCACCCAGATGTATTCTCATAATTTGTGTGCTTTCTTTATGTATGCTATACAGCAATAAAAGTTTATCTTTATAAGTTGTTACAAAGTTATACTAATGTCATAAAAGAGTACAAGCACAGACTAGAGAGTCCAGAACTAAAACCTAGCTAGACAAACAGATGAAGTTGACATGTGATGATATTCGGATCAGTGGGGAAAGAATCTACTGCATAATAATCTACTGCTGAGATAATTTGTTATCATATGAGGAAAAAATATACATCTGATCACCAATCAATTCCAGATGAATTAAAAACTTAGATGTGAAAGGTAAAAAACCATACGACTTTTAAAATAATGGAAAATATCTTCAAGTACCGTTGAAGAAAAATTTCTTCAACAAGATTCAAAAGGCACTAGCCATAAAGAAAAGACTGATAAATTCAGCTACTTAAAAATTTAGAACTTCTGGTTGTGATGAGTTGGAAGTGACTCGATGGCAATGGGTTTGGTTTTTTTTGGTTCATCAAAAGACAGAGAAAAATTTAAAAGACAGTCAAAATGACAGAGGAAATTTGCAACACATATACACAACTACAGAACTATTACAATTCAGTAAGAAATAAATAACCTGATGTAAACACTAACATGAACAGGAATTTCATAGAAGAGGGAAGAAGAATGGTTAATCAGCATAGTTAAAGACGCTTTAACTCATTAGCAAACGGTAAACATGAAAATCAAGAGGTGGTATTTTATACTCACCAGACTGGCAAAAATTTTTAAAGTCTGACAAAGCAAGTGTTGGCATGAACGCAGACCAATGAAAACTTCTGCACTACCGGATACAAACTCGTTTGGAAAACAATCTGGCATTATCCAGTTTTGTTGAAGAGGTATGTACGTAACCTTAAGTCCAGAAATTCTATTCCTAAAATTTCTAGAGTGAAACATACAAATATTCACACCAAATGACATCAATAAGGATTATAAACAGCCTCGTATCAGTGCAGGTTGGGTTTTTTCACAAAATAAGTTTGCTGAAAATTTACAATTTTTTTCAGAGCTTTTGGATTTCAGAAGTGTGGATGTGGGATTTGGGGGTCTGAAATGGAGAGGGAGAAAAAACAGAAGCCGCACAAATTTCCAATCAGCAAGTGAATGGATAAACTATGCAATATTAATACAATGGAAAATCAAAAGCAATAACAAGCAAACAAAAACACAGAGTTTTTGTACTTCTAAAACACATAAAAAGAAACAGTATTTGTGTATATATAAGTATAAAGAAAGACACAGAAATACCAAATCCAAAATTCAGCACAGTAGTTACCTCACTGGGAAAGTTGAGGTATGCATGGTGGATGTGATCAGAGGAGGGCACTTGCTAAACCTAAGACAATGAACTATTTCTTAAATTGGGTGGTGGGTATATATCTATTTATGTTTTACCTGTTATAAATAATCTTACTATTTTTTTTTATTGTGCTTTAAGTGAAAGTTTACAATTTAAGTTAGTTTCTCATACAACACATTGTTACGTGACCCTAGTTGCTCTCCCTATACTAAGACAGCACACTCCTCCTTTCCACCCTGGATTTCCCGTGTCCATTCAACAAGCTCCTGACCTTCTCTGCCTTCTCATCTTGCCTCCAGACAGGAGCTGCTCATTTAGTCTAATGTATCTACTTGGGCTAAGAGGCACTCTCTTCACCAGTATCATTTTGTGTCCCATAGTCCAGTCTAATCTTTCTCTGAAGAGCTGGCCTCAGCAATGATTTTAATTTTGGGCTAACAGAGAGTCTAGGGTCCACGTCTTCCGGGGTCCCACCAGTTTGAGACAAACCATTAACTCTGCTCTTTTTACTAGAATTTGAGTTATGTACCCCACTTTTCTCCTGCTCCATCAGGGACTCTCTGCTGTGTTCCCTGTCAGGGCAGTCATTGGTGGTAGCCGGACACCGTCTAGTTCTTCTGGTCTCAGGCTGATGATGTCTCTGGTTTATGTGGCCCTTTCTGTCTCTTGGGCTAATATTTTCCTTGTGTCTTTGGTGTTCTTCATTCTCCTTTGCTCCAGGTGCGTTGGGACCAACTGATGCATCTTAGATGGCCACTCGCTGGCTTTTAAGATCCCAGATGCCACTCACCATGGTGGGATGCAGAACATTTTCTCAATAAACTTTGTTATGCCAATTGACCTACATGTCTCCTGAAACCATGGTCCCCAGAATCCCGCTCCTGCTACTCTGTCCAAGTGTTTGGCTCTATTTAGGAAACTTCTTGGCTTTGGTTTAGTCCCGTATTGCTGACTTCCCCTGTAGTGTGTGCTGTCCATCCCTTCACCTAATTCTTATCTAGTATCTAGTTAGTGAATAACCCTCTCCTCCCTTCCCACTCTCATAACCATCAAAGAATGTTTTCTTCTGTGTTTAAACTTTTTCTTGAGTTCTTATAATAGTGGTCTCATACAATATTTGTCTTCTGTGACTGACTAAATTCACTCAGCAAAATGCCCTTCAGATTCTTCCATGTTCTAAAGTGTTTCAAGGATTCATCGTTGTTCTTTATCGTTGCGTAGTATTCCATTGTGTGAATATACCATAATTTGTTTCTCCATTCGTCCGTTGATGGGCACCTAGGTTGTTTCCATCTTTTTGCTATTGTGAACAGTGCTGCAATGAATATTGATGTGCCTGTATCTATTCGTGTAATGGCTCTTATTTCTCTAGGATATACTCCAAGGAGCGAGATTGCTGGATCACTTGGTACTTTGCTTTCCAGCTTTTTAAAGAAGTGTCAAATTGATTTCCAAAGTGGGTGTACCATTTTACATTCCCATCAAGAGTGTAGAAGTGTTCCAGTCTCTCCACAACCTCTCCAACATTTGTTGTTTTGTGTTTTCTGGATTAATGCTTGTTGGAGTGACACAGTATTTCACTGCAATTCTAATTTGCATTTCTCTAATGGCTCATGATCATGAACATTTCCTAATCTATCTGTTAGCTGCCTGACTGTCTTCATTGGAGAAGTACCTGTTCATATCCTCTGCCCACTTTTTAACTGGCTTATTTGCCTTTTTGTTGTTGAGGTTTCGCAGTATCTTGTAGATTTCAGAAAATAGACACTGATCAGATTTGTCATAGCCAAAATTTTTTTCCCTATCTATAGGTTGTCTCTTTACTCTTTTGGTGAAGTCTTTTGATGAGCATAAGTGTTTGCTTTTTATGAGCTCCCAGGTACGTAGTTTGTCCTCTGGTGTTTGTGCATTGTTAGTTATGGCTCGTATTCTGTTTATGCCATGTATCAGGGCTCCTAACGTTGTCCTTATTTTTCCTTCCATGATCTTTATCATTTTAGATTTTATA